TTGTGTTATAAGTTGCCAATGAACTTATTAGATGTGGAGAATGGGATGAAAAACGGCTGCGTTTCGCTTCCTTTCGAGTTACAACCAGAGACCATAGCGATCCAAGAAGCTGTCAAAGTCATATTAAAAGGTCTTGGTGAAGATCTCAATCGTGAAGGCATTAAAAAAACTCCATTTCGTGTCGCCAAGGCTCTCCGACAAGGAACCAGAGGTATCTAATCTGATTTGTCTTAAAGTTTAGTTTTTGTTTTGTGGGTTTTACTTTTCTTATGTTTTAATGATGTTTTTAATCTCAGGTTATAAACAAAAAGTAAAAGACTGTATACAGAGTACTCTGTTTCTTATGTTAATGGTGTTTTTAATCTCAGGTTATAAACAAAAAGTAAAGGACTTAATCTGATTTGTCTTAAAGTTTAGTTTTTGTTTTGTGGGTTTTACTTTTCTTATGTTTTAATAATGTTCTTAATATCAGGTCATAAACAAAAAGTAAAAGACTTTGTGCAGAGTACTCTGTTTCTTATGTTAATAGTGTTTTTAATCTCAGGTTATAAACAAAAAGTAAAAGACTTTGTACAGAGTGCTCTGTTTCCAGAGACAGGGCTAGACGATGGACAAGCAGGAGGAGTTGGTGGTCTTGTAGTTATCCGAGATCTTGATCACTACTCTTACTGTGAATCTTGTTTACTTCCTTTTCAAGTCAAGTGTCACATAGGATACGTCCCTTCTGGCCAACGTGTTCTTGGCCTAAGCAAGTTCTCTAGAGTCACTGACGTTTTCGCTAAGCGGCTCCAGGAGCCTCAGCGTTTAGCTGATGAGATATGTTCAGCTCTGCAGCATTGGGTGGAACCTTCTGGAGTTGCTGTGGTTCTTCAGTGCTCTCATCCTCACCATGGTTTTGTGGAGTTAATAACGGTTAAATCCGGTTCAGGGAGTTTTGAGGATGAGAGTTCGGAGCTTTGGTGTGAGTTTCTGACTCTTTTGAAGTTCAAAGGCGTGAAACTAAGTAGAGATGTCTCTGTGGTGGGAGACTGGTGCCCGTTTGTTACTGAGAACTCAGATGCAGACTCAGAAATGGTATCTGCTGTAGTCTCTATTCTGAGAGCTTTAGGAGAAGATCCCTCAAGGAAAGAGCTAGTTTCCACTCCGAACCGGTTCCTTAAATGGATGATGAAGTTCCAGAACGTTAACTTTGAGATGAAACTGAACAGATTGGACTGCAAATTTGAGGAGAGAAGATTGTGTTGTGAGATGAATATCAAGTTTTGGTCAATGTGTGAGCATCATTTACTTCCTTTCTATGGAGTTGTGCATGTTGGTTACTTCTGTGGTGATGGGTCCAAACCTGTGGAGAGGTCGTTGGTGGAGTCTATTGTAAAGTTTTATGGGTTTAAGCTCCAAGTGCAAGAGAGGATGACTAGGCAAATAGCTGAGACATTGTCACCACAGGTTCATGGGGATGTGATTGTGGTGGCAGAAGCTGCGCATACTTGTATGATCTCCAGGGGGATTGAGAAGTTTGGAAGTAGTACAGCTACAGTTGCGGTTTTAGGTCGGTTTTCGAGTGACCTTTCAGCAAGAACTAAGTTTCTAGAGAGTATTCAGAAAACATAGTAGAAGAGAGGCATATTGTCTCTTACATGATTAGAGGATCAAAGACAAATCAGTGTGTTCTACTTGATTCCTTCTTTTTACCATTGTTTTTGTGTTATGATTTCTCATGCCTAAGTATTTTTGGTTTTGGCTTTGAAATGTATTTGCTATGTTCTTCTGATTATAATACATAAATTACATCTTGAAATTATATGGTGCTGGTGTGAGTGAGAGCAATACTAGCCTACAGGGTTTATTGGCTTACTACTCCACGGTTCAAAACCTATTAGGATCAGACAAAAGGGTGTAGTGTAACATAACCCAGTGTCTTGTAAGAAAAGACAAAAGTAGTGTGAAAGATAGGAAAAAAGAAGTGCTGGTCTCTCACCCACTCTGTTTTAAGTGGATTTAGAGCATCCCATCAGTGAACCTGATGGACGGGAGTTCATAGAAAAAAAGTTAAATTTTTTTTTTTGGTTTGCTTTTTTTTTTTTTAAAAAAAAATTAATAATAGATCAATTGTGGAACGCCATATGGCGAACCCCGTGTGAACCGGGTTCATCCCGATGAACCTCCAAGACCCGGATTCACCAAAATCAACATTTTTTTTTTTTGATCCGCGTATGTACCTCCCCAACGAACCTTCAATGAAGATGCTCTTAGAGGAGAAAAATGATGGCATTTCATTCATTCATTGCTGCCTCTGCATGTTGACTAGTAAAACTGTCTATGAATGGACAAAATGGGTTTAGAGATAAGGAAACTAAAATAAGCCCATTGTACATACGAACATTAGTTTAGGGTCCAGTAAGATTGCCTCTACTCGATCTTCTCTGAGAGCAAGACACTGTAGAAATAATAAAAACCGAACTGAGAAGCGCGATGTTTAATGTATCTAATACTATTGAGTATTGACCATAAAATGTGAAAGTTTGGTTCTTCACTCGGAAAATCAATTAGAAAACTAAAGAAAAAAGAGATATTTTTAACCATAAAAAAAATATTAGAACTTGATCTGCGGCCCCACGCGGGTGTTTGATTGAACTTATGTTCACCATAAACTCATAATAAACTGGTTTTCATAAAAGAATCTCATGTATATTTTTATGTTTTGTAATTTACATATTAATATATTATACTATAGATGTTTGATAATAATTTTTTTTTAACTTGATGTAGTTTAATGTAATTTTACTATTCGTATATTAACATATTATTTTATGTTAATTTATTTTAAAATAAAACAACGTATAATTTTTTTAATTAGATTTCTATGAGTTATTATCAACTTTATGAAGATTTCTTTTGAAAATTGAACTCTCAAAATCTTATATTTGACTAAACTAAATAAGGTAATACTATATTTAAAAAATATATATATATTATATATTTCAGTTTTGTTTTTATTTTTACAACAAAGAAATAACAATCATTGTAATTAATTAATTTAAATTGAATTTAAATGTAGTGGTAAAAAATGTAAATAAAAAGAAATATTTAATTTATTGCAAATGCAATGACTAAACTAGAGCTGGACCCGTCCGACCGGACGGGTATTTATTTCATTTTTTATATAAATGAATATTATTTAAATGTCTATCCGTTAATATTTTTAAATATTTATCCTATTTCTAAATTTTTATAAACACAACAATCAAATAGTTTATGTGCTATAAAAATAGTGATTCGTGTGCATTATTAAACTTTTGAAAAATTAATATTGACCTATTGATGTTTGAATAATATTTCTTGTAACATGAAATTGTTTGCCAAATGTAAAAAGAATTTAAATATTTTGATCAGATATTGATAATATGGTAAGATTTAGATACATTATAAAAAAAAATATTTGGTTATAAACATTAAACATTATTTTACAAGTAATTCAATATTTCAATTTCAGTATTAAATTTTCTTGTTGAAAATAATTAATAGCAACCAAAATGGTAAAACATATATTTTAGAAATTCTTGAAAAATATATAATCTTAGGTGAGATATAATTATATTAAAATAATATTCAGTTACAAATAGTTCATGTTGTTTATAAGTAGTTTAAATATATTTAAAATCTTATTGTTCAAAATAATTAATGCTAAGTTAAACATATATTTTAGGAATATTCATAATATTTTTTTAATTTCGAATTTAAACTTGAATTTTGTTCAAAATAATTAATGGTAACATTATACAAATTTAATATTGTTAAAATCCATTTTAAATATGAATATTCCTAAAAATCAGCTAGTTTATTTTAGGGAATATATTAAACACGAAATTTAAGCTAAAATTGATTTAGAAAATTGTTTAATAAATAGGAAAAGACAATGATTACTTACATATAAGTTCATTTAATTACTTCAGTGGCATGCTATTGTAAATAAAAGTGAAATCTAAGGGTTATTTTATATGGGTACTTCTCTTTTAATAATATAGATGTGCAAACAAAAGAAAATAATTAATTTACTATCCATGTTTTCGAATAATTCTCATTTATCCATATTTCTAAACAGTACCAAAAGGTACTTCAATTTTAATAATATAGATGACAGGTTATTAAATGGAAAATAATATGACATGACAACATGTTTTGATTAGTATCACATTATGTATTTATGCTTTCGTAATCAATCTTCTAAAACTTTAGGAAATAGTTTTAACTCACTTTTAGAAGGGAAAAACTTGAAAAACATTTGGAGATCCATTAGAAAAATAAAATTTATAATAATTCTTTCTAAAATTTATAATAATTCTTGGATTTTAGAATCATGTATTATTGGTTTACAGATTTTTAAATTCTCATTAAAGTCTAGTGTTATTGGTTAGTAACTCTATATACAATCCCTTATTATTCAAAAAATTTAAATTTTAATAATTTTTTAAACTAAAATAGGTGTTATTAAGAGTTATATTTTTCACCATTTAACTTATAACACAAGATTTTGAGAATACTACCTATATACTTTAGATTCTTAAAACTATTATATCAATTTATTTTCACCCAATTTCTCAATATACAAAACTCTCTATACTTCTTTCCAAATTTAACAAATCCATCAACTTTTAAAATCAACAAATAAATATAACTCCCACTAAATGAAAATGTTAGAAAAAACAAATAATCTCTAAGAATAAAAATATGACATAATATCATGTCTGATTAGTTTCCCATTATGCAGTTATGCTTTTAACATGTTCGATTTATCACATTATTCATTTATACCTTCATAATCAATCCTATAAAAACTTAAGAAATCTGAAACGGTTTTTTATGTCGAACAAAAAATACTTAGGAAATCATTTTCAGTCAAAAGTCTATTACATTTTCTTAAGATCTGTGGAGTACTTTTGTAGCTTTGGTGACTAAACAATGTCTTGAAAATATAATTTCTCGTTGAATGTTTGGTTAGATACACTACTTTGATAGTCAACCAATTACCATAAAACTAGGTCCAAACGATTATGAAACTATCACACAGGTATATATCACCATAAAACTAGGTCCAAACGGTTATGAAACTATCACTCAGATATATATTAATCAGAAAATATGTAACTATACATTAGACGATTTTTGTTTCAAAATGCACTAAGACCACAATACTTAATTAGTGGAACTAATCGCTTGTGCCATTGCAATTCCGTAATTGTTATCTTACAATGAATATCAAACCAGTGGACACATTTCATTTGATTTCCTATATTTATGTATTTAGGTTCAACTCCAGCGTCTCATTCAGCGATAAACATAGAAGACAAGCCTTGTGCATTATGTGAATTGTAGTGAAAGTCTATTTTCTTTTATATGTATCTACAAGAGACTGTTATTTTAGATTATTAATAGCAGCTATTTGAAATAATAGCTTATAATGTATTATCAAAAAGAAATGACCATCATTATAGATTTGTAAAAATGTCCCAAATAAATAGGTCTTTGTTCAACATACCACTAAGTGATGCTCCACTATGTAAACATCTTTAGGGATAAAAAAAGTATGTCACATGAAAATTGTCACTACTACTAACAATTTTTAATATCGTTAAAATTTCCGAGTAAGATGCAACTACTCTTCAATAGTAGATGTATAGTATAATATATTGATCACCCACATTCAATGCATCTTATTCTTTTTATTTCTTTTGCTTTCTAAATAGAATATATTAAAGTACTAGTTAGCACAAATAAATATTAAAGTATTAGTAAATTAAAACAAATAATTCACCCTACTTACTCATGCTCAATAATTCAATCCGTATTTTTATACGTACAAGCAGAAAGCTTTACAAAGATTTGAATTAACAACTTTCAATTATGAACTTCAAAGTAGTTGGTGATAATCCATTTATTTATCGTTATTTTGTGAGCAAAGTCCACAAATCAGAGTCCATAGCCATGTGACTGCCAAATTTTTAATTCCCTTCACACTTAAAATAAAATCAAGAAACGATTATAATTATCATTATTTTTTTACTAATCGTATATTCATTTTACGTAATTGTTTTGTGCTACTATAAACTCAAAAGATAACGAGTGTTCTTTTTATAAACGAACCACATTTGGTTGCTATTACATCAACTTACAAGGCAAGATTGTATGATACTCAAATTATTATTTTGAAAAAAATAATTGTATGATGTTACTCAAATTATTATTTTGAAAAAAATAATTGTATGATGATACTCAAATTATCAAACAGCATTTTCTGAAAATTAAAGATGTACGTGGTTGATTAATCAATCTAGATATAAGATTATCAGATTTCAGTCCATCATTACGATTTTGATTTGATTAATCATGCAAAGGTTACTTTTTATTTCATGATATTTTTCGGGAAGTTTTATGTCGTAAAGCGTATCATGTAAAATGATTTTGATAAGATTGCACACTAACTAGAAAATTTAAATCCTCTGTTTTAAGCAAACGAAAAAAAAAACTACAAAATTTGATTCGACACAAAAATGAACACTTGATTTCAATTCCAATATACCAGTAAAATTATAATCATGTGGAGTAGTTTTGCGTAGGGTCCAAGTTAGGGTTAGTAACGCCCATCACTTACTCTAGTAAATAACTAGATACAAATAAAATATGAAAATTAAGATCTGTTGTATAGCCTAACTTGCTGTAAATTAAATATCCTGGATTGTAGTGGAGGTTATGATCCTACAATTATATCACATCAGAAAAGCAAAATGAATCCAAAGATAACGATACAATTTAACCCTAATTATGAATTGGAAAATGACATAAATTGGTTACTTCATAAATGTGTGTAAATAAGTCACAGAGATTGTCATGGTTATGTACACCCATCTTTTTTTCTTATCCCTTTCCTTGAGACCTTGAAAAATAGGGTTGATCAAAGCTCAATTTTCATGTTTTGACAGTCATGGTTGGGGTTATGTGGCACTCCCATCCCTACAATGCTCTGTAAATCTTCTTGGCTAAACATTTGATACTGAAAACGCACACACATGTTTGTTAGAATCATCTGTCTATTTAATAATGGAATCAAGAAAAAATATTGTTAAAGGATAACTTAAAAACCTGAGAAATTGAGTCAGTGAATTGGGTAAATGTTGGTAAGTGGGTGAAGCTGCTGGTTAAGGCAGAGGTTTCTAGTGAGTTCATAGGAGATTGGACCATCATGTTATTGGAAGAAACATTAGAGTGCAGTTGTGAATTTTTATTGTAACTATGATGATGACTTAAAGACTCTGCTTGGAGTCCTGCTTCATGCAACCGATTGCTACTTGATGAAATCATCTGAATAAATAATGATAAATAAGTAAAATATTAGATTGCAATTTTTTTCAATAGAAAATAAGGTTCTTTCTAAAAAGAAATTAAAAAGTTTACTAAAAGTAATTAGGATGAATGCTAATGGGCCGATTGTTGAAAGTATCTTTTAACATAACGACAAGCAAAACAAAAAAGGATTTAGCAATGAAAACAATTTCAAATGATCATCATTAATGAGTTGTTAATTGATGTTATGTTTAAGGTCACTTACAACATCCTTCGACACAAGACCGTCCACGTTAAAATCCAGCCTGGTGTCGTTCACTGATGATAACTTCATTGACAAGAACTGCCAATTATTAAAACAAGATACATTAGAAAAAATTAACTGCAAAAAAATAAAATTCGGTGACTATTAAAACAATCCCTTATATATTACTCCCTCTGTTTCAATATAAGTGTCACTCTACAGCTATGCACACGGATTAAAGAAACAATTAATTTTACATATTTCCTATAAAAAAACACAATTACCCACACACCTAACCATATTTTAACCAATAGAAAAACAAATTACATAATAAAATTAATAAATTTTGCATTGAAAACCGAAAACGACACTTATTTTGTAACACAAAAAGTTCTCTACAACGACACTTAATACAAAACGGAGGGAGTAAAAGAGAAGCATTTTGCATTAAATGTGTTCACACCACCTTCTCACAATTTATTACCTTATTTACTACCTTCTCATAATTTATTACCTTATTTACTACATTCTCACAATATATTACCTTATTTACTTCAACAATTGTTTACCTTATTTACTTCAATTATAAAACACACGAGATACTTTAAAACTACAAAGTTCAATATCGCATTAAACAAGTTCGGAGGCAAGTAAATTGGCTTAAGGGTCGATGTCAAAGTTCTGGAACGTCGTTATTAGAGCGGTGGGACGTATCTAAGATGATGGATGTTAAGGGCAATGTACCGAAGCCCATGAACGCGATCTTGGTTTGGACATGGCTCGTGTGTAGCGTGAAGAGATTGAACTCAACCTTGCTAAGTTTGAGGTAGTTAGTGTACTGAGAATAGATCTAAATGGTGAAATGTGTTGTCTCCGAGAGATCCCAAGGGCGTATAGTAGTGGTGCTCTGAAAACTCTATATCTTCACTACGTAGGTTGGTGAGATTGGTTCTGTAGTTATGGACTTTTGGGCACAAGTTTTTACCGTCGATTTTTGTATCCATAGGCAAGGACGTGGACATGAGCTATTGAACAAATTGTCGACATATATATGTGAAAGGTTTAAGGGCTCTTGAGATTGGAGATTTCGTTATACAAGTCGAGAATTTGCTTCTCGAAATGAGTCTTTTCACAG